TCCCTCTGAGTCTGTTTTGCAGAATCTTGGATTTTTAAATCAAGTTTCTTTCATATATTTTTTTCCTCGTGAATTATGTTTTGTTTCTTTCTGGCCTGCATCTTCTCTCCACATAATTTTCCAAATACCCACTATTTTACTTCAAAGGTGGTCTCTGCCAACTGTCTGATCCCTGTAGACTTTTGAAGTGCAGATTCCAAGCAATACTTGTAGAACCCCAGTCTTTACACTGTACTTCTGTCTGCTGTCCCTGTACCCTTGCCTTTGTCTCTTTACGTCGTCCTCTCAGTAACCTGAACCTGCAAGTCCACTTCTTAAAACTGTTGGATTCGGTAGACATTTCCTTGTAGTCATTTTCCCCTTAGGCGCTTTCCACCCAGCTCCCAAATAAATACATGGAGACTTACTCCTCACATACAAATGCCCAGCCTTTGCCTGACTTGTTTCTAGCCAGCTTTTCTAACTTAAATTATTCCATTTCTCTTGAACTACATTTTTGTCTCTGAGCTTTTTACTTTCCTGTATTCTATATGTCTTTCTTGCCTTCTTACTCTGTGATTGGATGGGTTGCTGGCCTCCGGCGTCCTCCTCTCCTCCTTTTCTTGTTCCTCCTCCTTTTCTTGAGTCTAGTTTTCTCCTCTTCTTTATTCTCTCTACATGCCAGTCCCACCTATTTCTCTCTCCTGCCTAGCTATTGACTGTTCAGCTCTTTATTAGACTAATTCAGCATTTTAGGTATGCAAAGTAACACAGCTTTAAAGAGTTAAACAAATGCAACCTAAAGGAATGCAACACATCTTTATTCCACAGCATAAACAAATGTAGCACAGCTGAAGCTAATATTCCACAACATTTCCTCCTTCGGGCTTTTGAGTCCTAATTGGTGTTGTCCCTTGTGGGAATCGTGTTATATTTAAACAAAAGCCAAACCTGGGTTGCAGGAGATGTTCCTATTGGTAGTGATTCAATGGTGTGTTACTGGCAGTTGCTGGAATCTCTCCACTAGAATTCTGGGAAGGATCTTTGCTACTTGAACTCTTGCGCATCCTCACTCTTAGGCTCAGTCCTCTCTCAAATCCTTAAGAGGAAAAGGTCCCGCCTGCCCATGGCCATGCCTGTTTTTCGATTCCAGTGTTCTCACCTTAAGAAAATGGCTGCATATGGAGCACAGAGGACCCATATTTATATCTCTGCCTGTAGGCCCTGGCAGAGCAGTATGGCCATCGCCAAGCTTAGGCAAACACAGGGCTGGTCTTTTCCCCAGGAAAAGTAGAGGCTGGGACTTCTCAGAATGCCCCAGGTGTTGCCAGTTGGTCAGCGCCCAACAGTCGCTCAGCTTGATTCAGCAGTTTCATCACATGTGGAGATGGGGTAGAGGGAAACTGTAGAGGCTGCCACAGCAAGGAGAGGGGTGAAAGGACAGTGAGAGTTCATGATAAGGACATTAAAGTCTCAGGAGAGGAGAAAGCTGCCCTGGGGGAAGCAGCACTGCCCATATACCAAAGGCAAGATGCTCAGAAAGTCAATTCCTCAAGGGTAAGTCTTTGTCTATGTTGTTGTGGGAGGACATCATAATCTCGAATCCAAGGTAATTAGTATCAAATGTAATATACTCTCTATTTATACATATGTTAGTATTTAAACACATAATACACTTTGTAGTTGGTTGCATAAACACCTATAGAATATGTTAAATGAACTATAAAATGCATGTATCTAAACATTGTGGTGAATAGTAATCCATTGTCTGTATTACCTTTTGGGTAGCTGGTATTCTTCCAGCTTTACATTGAATGCATGGAATTTGTCACTGGTCAGTGAGTAAAGAAACAGGGGAACATCCTGTGAAGACTGTCCTTTCACTCTCATAACTGCTAAGGACGCTGCACTCACCTTGGTGTAAATATTTCATTATGTACATTTAATTAACAAATTGACTAATTAATTGAGTATATGTGTTTATACTAGCTATTTATTCATGCATGTGTGTTGTTGTTGTTGTTGTTGTTGTTGACTCAAAGGAGTCAACCTTAGATGTTTTGTTCTCAGGAATCATTCACCTTGCTTGAGATCACTGAGAGCTGGACCTTATTAACTACACTAGGCTGACTTGTCAGTAAGCCTCAGAGATTAGCTCCTTTTTAACTACCCACCCCTGAGATTATTAACCCCTGGCCCTATGGAAGGCTTTTTGTGTGGGTGCTGGGGAATGAATTCAGGTCATCACTTGCATGCACACTTGACCAACTGAGCTGACTCATTAGTTCCATTATTAACACTTTTTTGAGAACATCAGAAATTGCTTCAGGTGTGGAATCAGCAGAAGGGGTATCACCAGATATACAGGTGCTGCACTAGGGTAAGGAAACAAAGGCAAATATTTAGGTTGAAAATGTAGACACAAAATAATAATAAAGACTAACACATAGTTTATTCTATGTTATTATTGTAATAAAGGCCTTATGTACAATAATTTGGTTAACCTTCCAAGGCACCTTCAGGGTTAGGTACTCAACATGAATGTCCCCAAGTAAAAAGAAATGACTAGCCAAAGCAATAGCTTGAGTATCATTCCATTTCCTTATGGAACCTTTAACACACTTATATTTACTGCTATTTTGAGCAACCAGTGAAGTAAGTATTGAGTAATTTTTAAAAGCTTCATTTATTGAAAGAAATTCTTAGAAATCCATTGAAGGATGAAGGACTCTGAAACAGGACATTGTTAAAATACCTAGAAATTGCTTGTGCCATAAACAATGGCAGCAATGAAATACTTTGGATGTAATAGTAAATGCTAAAGCAGTCATCGAAATGTTTTAAACAAAAATACATAAATTATTTGTCTTATTCTTAATTATAAAAGTACATTTGTCTTTTTAAAAAATTCAGTGTTAGATGTATTTTTTGGGACTGTGTACATTAATAGTGAAAACTTGATGAACAATTTGTGACTTCCATGTTTAATTCCACAGTTTGTTTTGTTTTTGTTTTTGCTATTATTTTAGGACAAGATCCCTCTATGTAGCCCTGACTGATTTGGAACCCATGATATAGACCAGGGTGGCCTTGAACTCATATATATCAGTCTGTGAAAGGTGTGTGTCTCCACAAAAAGCCTTCATTTGACATTTTGGTTTCATTATTCAGTGTGTATATTTTGCATAGAACATATTTGAAGCAAAGAAGCAATCCAATGCTTGCTAGTTCTAACATTGCATTAGACAAGGTGTTGTGTTTGGGAGTTTCCTTTCTGTCACAATCCTATTGTCTTAAACCCATGGATGGAAGGCAGGATAACAAGAGCTAACGGGCTTGTCTCCATGAAGTGTTGGTTTGGAAGTGCATTTGGGGTGACAAGAAAGCTCATTTTCTTTACGCTGGTTTTCATTTTTTATACAACATGCTCAATGTTTCTAATATCCTTAGCCTGCAAAAACCTTAAGTCTTGTATGCTGGTGACCCTACCTAATCATTAGAAACAAATAGATTTGTTTGAGTTCATAAAAACCAACTATCTATAAAGTGAAGGACTAAAGCCTCATCCTCAGCTTGGGATACAACTCTGAGAAATTACAGTGCTTATCTGGCATATGTAAATCTCCAGTTCAGTTCCCAGTAATGCATAGAGCAGGTGCTGTGGTACATACCAGTATTCTCAGCACTTGTGGGGTGAAGCCTAGAGGATCATAATTTAAGATCATCTTCAATTGCATAACAGTTCTGAGGCCAGCCTGGTATACATGAGATTCTACCATGTATCTATAAATAAATAGATAAAATATTCCCTTACTCCCTTTTCCTTTAAAACAATATTGAAAAACTTATATTGGCACATGATTAGCCACCAACTGAAATGTTTTCCAAGTTCAGCATATCTCTTTCAAAATGATAAAGGAGGCCTTTGTGGGTTTTCTACTATTTGGGCATCAGTCATCTACTTGTCTTACCAGTCACACACTGTTTCCCTATCTGATGGAATTCACTTTCCAGATTATGAAATGGTTGTGTTTCTTCCTGCTACTCATTGTATGCAAGGCATTTGGACTTTACATTGCAGGAAACTCGACATCTCTTTCAAAGAGATGGGGCAGAGTATGGTGGAAATAGTCTGATATTTAGTTCTTAAGTTTTGTATATTTTGAGAATGTTTACTGCTAGTGTCTCCATATATCTCTGTGTGTGGAGGATTCATGTACCCCAGCATGTGCGTCAATGGTCTGGGGATGGAACTCAAGGTGCCAGACATGGATAGCAAGAGCATTTACCCGATGACCCTCCTTGATGTCCTTGATATATTTTATAACCAACAAGAATTTGGAAGCTAGTTGGATGAAAAATGTTATTGATACAGTGGCATTAGAGTACAAGAATTTTCTAAGAGAAGAGATGGGATTATTGTAAAGGTAGAGAATGAAGAGTCACTTCAGAATCACCAAAAAAGTGACCCCCATTTCTGTTTTTGCTGGGTCTTTGTTGTTGCTGTTATTTTGGGGCTTTTATTTATTTGGCTCTTTTTTTTTTGCAGAGAAGGAAAGAAAAAAATGAATGGAGTCTGTGACACTTAGGACAAATAAATAATTGCTGTTTTGTAGACTGGCATGTACAAAATGGTTTCTCTGAATTTCTTCTCTAAGCCATTTTGTTAGTTCTGGTTTATTTCAGCTCCTAGTAAGTGTCTTGACCCAAAAGACCAAATTGCCCAGGGAAGATAAGCACTTAAAATAGTGACATCGCCCAGATGGGAGCAATAGCTAAAGTTTTTCCAACTTGTTAGCTACTTGAACACTTAATATCACAAAGGTTGGTCCATGGACTAAATCTACTAAAATATCAGGAGCATTCATTGAAGACTTTGGCAGTGCAGCTGCCTCAAGTCTTCGACTAGTGCGATTGGCAATCAATGAACTATTTTGGGGTTTTCTCATTTGTGAATTGAAACAACTATGTGTTACAATGGTCTAATAATACACTTCCCATAAATGTGATACATGCTCCCAAACCATTCAACATTGCTTTTAATTCGTATTAATTCTCAGAAGTTGAAATCCACATGGACAACTAAAACATGATGATTACATTCACAATATTTACAACAAATACATTCCCTTGGACCTAAGTACAACTTAACCTATTATCAAAATATTATATTCATCAAATATTAGTGCATGTGTATAAGCATTTTAAGATAAACTGATTTTAAATCATTCACTACACTCAAAAATGAACATATAATCTATGTTCAAAAATTTTTAAAAGTCAAGTTTAAAAACTTTTTCAAAGAAATAAAAAGAATGCAAATATAAGAATACTATATTGATACAAAAAGATGCAAGTTATCAATATAAAATACACAAAGCAAATAACACATATAGTCATGTTATTAATACAGTCATATATATAAAATTTGAAACTGGATTAACAGTCATCATCTTTCTCCTTCATTTACACTGATAAATTCCGCAAAGCTATAAACAAATAGCCCTTGAACATTCCCTTATGTATGTGACTTCATTTGAAAAACAATACATTCTTCTCTAATCTTAAAGGTTAAAATAAATTAATTTTCCTAACCACTGTTTTGTCTCTTTTTGCAGCACAGCCTTGGAAAAGTAGCTTGAATAAAAATATTTAGACAAAATATCTGTTCTAAATTTTAAAAGATATTAACTTAATAACCAACCAACCAACCATAACAAAACAAAACAGAAAGCTAGCCTCTGGAACAAAAGGATGAGGGTGATGGAATTTCTAACTCCTACAGGCTGCAAAGCAGGCTATCAGAAAGCCACTTAGTTTCCTTTACACCAATGATTACAGCCATTTTAACCTTCACTATAAACAGAGTACACTAATCCTTAAGCTGGTTTTAGGTAATTAATTAGGCCCTCTTCCCTTTCATCCCCCAGTTCCCCTTGAAAAGCAATAGCTGATTTGTATTTATTCAGTGTAATGGATTGACATTTCACTTTAAATAGAACCACATAAGCCTGTCTCAATTTGGGTGAGATATAACCGCCACCCTAATCTACTGGTAGAATGCCATGACACAGAGAAATCACAGCTTAAACCAACAGCCTTTAGATGTGCCTTTTTAGAGAAACTGATAAAAGGAGAAGCTGTGCAAACCATTTTAGGAAACAAACGACTATGCTCTCTAGAACAATTGAAGCAGTGTGCATAATACCTCATTCTGCTACAATCATTTATAGAATCATAGACGGTGCATATTTCCTGTAATGAGACTTAGGCAGTTAAGCAAAGTAAATGGATACACCGTGGGTTCCATTTCTTGAAAATAGTGGCTGGTTCAGTGATTTGCTTGGCTGTATAGGTACAGTTAACACACACACACAACTACACATACTGACTTTTGGAGTATATGCTCGGGGATCTCTTTTCTGCGTGGAAACTCCTTTGAGTGGTGCGATGGGATGGTACCGAGTATCTGTAACTGCTCCTCTTCTCCGTGCAACAAAATACGCAAGAGAAAAGCGCTCCTCCGGCAATCAGCACCAGTGCTGTGGTCCAGCCGATGTAGAGGGCTTCTCCAAGCTCACGCTTTTGAGCTACTTCCACCAGCGGGTTGTAGAAGTCTCTTATGATGGCACTGGCAACCCAGCTGACAGGGATTAGCACCACCAAGCCGGTGATGATGAAGATGATCCCGGCCGTCAGCAGAATGCGGCTTTTCACATTCTCATCATCCCCGGTGCACCTTGTGCACTTCATTCCCAGGACGGCTGTCATGAAAGCCAAGAAGGACAGCACAGAGGCAGCACACATGAGTCCTCTGGATGCCTGGAGGTCCGGAGTCAGCGCCAGCAGGGAGTCGTAGACCTTGCACTGCATTCTGATATTGGCGTGCCTCATGCAGTTCATCCACAGGCCCTCCCACAGGTTCTCAAACACCACAATGTTACTTTCAATGAAGGCAGACACTCTCCACTGAGGCATGATGGTCACCGCCACTGTGCCCACCATGCCAACACCACCGAGCACCAGGCCAGCCATTTGAAGAGCGTAGGTTGCCATGGTCTTCCCGAGGTTTGTCCAACTGGAGTGCCGAACAGGTCAGGTAGGGCTACTCCCAAGCAGAAATCCGTGAGCCTTGGGAGGGAACAGTGGTCATGTAGAAATGAGCTCAGAGAGCAGTGGTTTCTTCAAATAACAATGGCTTGGCTTTGCTCTTTCTAGCTAGATCAAATCCAGTGCAGGCTGGTGAGACACTCCCCCCATCTCCCCCCCCTCCCTTGCTGGAACAGTAAACTTGCAAATCAGGTGGGGCAACTTTCTTAGCCAATAACAGGGGGATGGGAGCTCAGGTGTGTCTAAATCAACTCTGGATACTTGGGAAGGCTGGACTTGCAAATAAACATTCTTTGTACTTCTCTCTCTCTTTTTTTTTTTCTAAGAAGACAGCAGTATGTTTACCCAGAGGCATAATTATGAGTGTTTGCACAATCAGCAAGGACAGAGCCAGTGTCTCCTAGCAAAAGAGGCACCGCTCCTGCTGGCACAGATAATCCTGACCCTCAGTTGCTTTGAGGAGGCTCCAGTAAACCCCCTTCCTGTGGATTCTGCAGGGGTGGCTCCAAGGCCAAATTAAAGGAGAATAGAGGATTGACATTGTTCATACCTGAGAAACCACATTCTTTGGGACCCATGTGGTCTGGATGGTTGATTCAATTTGTCTACAACTTCAAAGTGAGCTCTCCCAAGGTGAGTTCAGCCAGGAGAGCATGCCAAAAGCCAAAAGCTAGGCTGGAGGAGTTGAACAAAGCACGTTGCCTTCCTCGTTGGCACAAAATTTATATGGTTTTCTTTTAAGCCAGGAAAACTACTTGTTGGCATTTGTATTCCTGGTAATATTGATTTATAATGAAGAGTGCAAACACACAAAAAGAGTAGCCAGATGGCTTTGTGGGGAGTGATCACTACAGTGCATAAACGAGACTGTCTGTAGCTGCTAAAGCTGAGACCATATTTTCTAGCCTGCTACTTCCTGCTCTGTCTTCTAGTCTGAAGAAAATGGAATTCTGGACATTGTACAAGAAAGTCCCAGGTCCCTGCAAATTGCTGGTATTTAAAGCAACATCTTCACTGAAACAAATCATATTAGACATTAACTAAAATTATCTTTCCTACATATGAGGCCATGTGTTATGCAAATATACTTAGCCTCTAAATGAAAGGCAAGTTGAGCTGTTTTTGCAAACTGACAATTAGAAACATTAGTGGTGTCAACATCCACATGGACTAGGGACAACTGCATTAGGAATTTTCCACTGCCCTTCCTTTGCAAACTTCAAGCGATTTTCCTCCTTCAGGTAGCCCAGGTTATCCTTGAGCTTGCAATCCAGTCAAAAGGATGGCCTTGAATTCCTCATCCTCCCACTTCTGTCTTTCAAACACTAGGATGGCAGGTGTGGGATATCTCACCTGGTTTAGACGACGCTGGAGATCAAACCTAGGGCCTGCCTGGGTGGGTACACAAGGAGAACACTCTTGAATGAGCTACATGCCAAACCCTTCAGATTATAGTTTAACTTCCTGTTACCATAACAGATATTGACATAACATCTCTTCTATCCTCCTCTCTTTCTTTCTTTCTTTCTTTCTTTCTTTCTTTCTTTCTTTCTTTCTTTCTTTCTTGTTTTTGAGATAGTCTTGGACAGTACATACTTTCCTGTATGACTTTCTATGTTACCAAGAATGGCTTAGATCCCCTGACCTCCCTGCCTCTACCTCCAGACTAGTGGGATTACAGGGATATGACCCCACACCTGTTACAAAAATAATTATCCCCTTAAAATTTTGCTTCCATCTGATTCTTTGTACATTAAATTCAAAGATTGGAGACGCTGTTTCAGGCTCACTCATCCCACTTTGAAATTCTAAATGGTCCAAAAACTTAGTGGTTTATAGAAACTTTTGAAGCAAAATTTATGCATGGCAGGGAATGGAAAATGAAGCCATCCTCTAAAAACAAAGAGTGGATAGCAATCCAAGTTATTTTATTATACTGCATATTTTGAAATAAGTAGTAACTTAAGATGTTATATTTTCATTGATTTATTAATTTCTTTACCTGTTAAGAGCTTAGTGCTTCTTCATTATTCTGATGTGGAAATAAATATCAGTGTTCCTTCACCAGATTTTATCAGTTTTAACAGATTTGTGATAGACAAGGAAATAGAAAAATATTATCTTTGCAAATCATCTTCAATCTGCAAATCATGACTTGAAATTTCACATGGAGGGAATTTTAATTTTTAATTGTCAACCTGGGAAAATTGAATAACATACATAATCTCAAAATGAAAAAGAAATTTTGGCATTGGTTGAAAAATGACCAGCTTTTACTTAAGGAATGTAAGGTTATATGCTATTCATCAAAATAAATGTGATACATATATTGGGAGCTCTGGATAAATATTGATGAACATTTGCTTCTGAATGGGCAGATAGAGACTGAGTGTTTCTCGAGTATGTATAGATACAGCTGACTTTATATATAACTCCATCCCTCCCCCTAAGCATTGGGCCGTGTTAGGAAGTTCATTGATGTAAATATTCTCCTCATTTAAAAAAGATTAAATACTTTTTCGGTTGAAATTGTCTTAGCTCAAAGATTAAGACCTGCATGAAAGATTAACCCTAGGCTGACATTAGAATAATTTCACCGCTAACTGCTCTGGTAGCACCTAGCCCAGGGCACCCAGATTAAATCAGGAAGTGATCTAATTCATTCCATGGTGTTTTGAAACCATCATGTCCTAAAGATCAGAGAAATGAGAATGGCAGAGGAAAAAATGGGAATGCCATGTTTTCTAGGGACAGAAGCTTGAGTTCAGAAACTAAAAGTCTTTTACAGCTTACCTACTTTTCTGTGTTACTGAGATGATTAACTTGGATGAAAAATTCATGTTGTAGTAGTGATTAGAGATTTAGTAGATTAATAATATTTTCATGTTTTTGGTACTATAGAGCACCTGTGCAGATTAAAAAGTTTTGCTTGTGGCTTTACAAGCAACTAAGTTGCTATGAAGAACCATAAGACAGAAATAAATGCTAAAATTGATTGTTTTTTAAAATATATATACATATACTTGTTTTTAAATATGAGGTCTTACACTACAATCTAGGCTGGTCAGGGATGTAACTTTCAACACTCACCAAATGGCCTGAAACTCTTGTTTCAGCCTCTTGAAAGCTGAGATGAGTAGCAGTCATGTAAATTCTGCTTCCTATGCACAGGCTGAGCCTCAGAATGCAAAATGGTACTAGTACATGAGGTTATTTGTGATGCTTTTGGTTTTATTGTTGTTTGTTTGTTTGTGTCTCAATTTGCAGGGTTCTCAGGGATGAACTTTGTAGGGTGTTGCAATGTCAAAGGTTGGACACACATAGGACAGGCAAGAAACCTTACTCCCAGACAAAGGGACTTGCTTCCAGAGACAAACTCAGAAGCTTCATTAAGGGGTGTAATTTTAAATTTACTAATTAAATTCAACCCTGACAAGTACCTAATGCACACAAATGCTTTCCCTTCATAAACGATAACACACTGCCCTCAGAAATCTCTTGTCTTTATTTCTGTACTCCAACTCTTCAGCCTTAGCTCTCTAATAGTTTTTCTGACTGTTTAGAATGATTATTGATTCTGCCTCCACAAAGTTGCCAATGCCTATTGTTTTCTAAATTTATTTGTGTGGATAGTTTTCAGCCTGTGTTTATTGTTAATTGTTGTTCACTGTTAATTGGCTGTACTTGGCTCACTATCCTGCCTTGAGAAGGCAATTGAATATATCAATAGGTCTCTTTGTTTTTTGTTGTTAATATTGAACTGTGGTTAGCTTCATGGTCTTTTGAACAACCCCCCCCACACACACACTTTTCCTTCTTGATGGACACGCCTGTGTTTTGTTCCCCAATAGCTGTCTTCCATCTTTGGTACCTTTTGATGACCAATTTTAGCTGTTGTGCTTAAAAATGAACTCTTCCCTATATAGTAATTATCTAGTAGCTTACTGATTTACCATACTTTGAAAAAATGGCATAGATAGACCCATTGACTCCAGTGGGAAAGTGGTATTCATCACTCTTCTGAGGACTGGAAAGACAAAATGGCTAAGCTTTGGTGAGGAAGTCATAGAAACAGGAATATGACTCATCTTGTTATTTTTTTATCTACAGCAGAGAGAGATAAATACTTGTGTTCCGCTCATTTCCCCCATGTTATCCAGTCTTTCAAAGAGCCTCCCATAGACGGAGTTTTTCACTCCAAGCACCTTTGTCTTGTCCCGGTGAAGAGCACCAGGCTTTTCTTTAATAATACTAAGCCTTTCAACATTTACATACTTTCTGGTCTATACTCTCCTTGCCTGAAATTTTTAACTTTCATGTTCTTCCTTTCCAAGTCATAGCTTTTATCTTCCTGTGCTTATCATATGGCAGAACTAGATGAGAGCAGTGAGCAGTGACCGTGAAACTACCTGAACATGATCTTGTCCTTAACTTGTCTCTACCTAACAGATCACTGTAGTCTCTGTGACCTCAACACCACTCACCTTCTCACGACATGGGCAGAACGTAGCCACGTTCTTTGCTAGAACATCACATGGACATGGCAGCACTGCACCAGTTCTGGAAGAGTGATTGCTTCCCTCTGCAACCCCATGAGGGAGACTTCTACCTGAGCATTACTGTCTTCCAGGGTCCCCCTAAGGACTCCCCTTAAGTTCTTCCTATGTCAGAAGCACTGTCCTAGCTCCCAGCTCGGCTCCTTTCACATCCCTCCCTCAAACCACCTCCAAGGGCTTTAGAATCATATGGTCATTTTGTTTTCTCACAGCAGAAGGCCTCCTTATTGATAGTATGTTCATTTTCATGCTTACGTTACAGAATAATACAGGATAGGATTGACTTACGGAACCAGAGATTTATTTTAATTTACAGTTCCAGGAGTTGCAGTCTACCAGGATGGTAAAAAGCAAAGCAGTGAGAGAGGTGGCCGTGCATCCATGGTCAGGAAACTGAGTGGGGTGGACCTTTGCCTTCAGCTAGCTTTGTCCTGATGTTTAAATCCTATATGCCAGTCTGTGAAATGGTGCTCAGGCGGGGCTCTCCACCACAGTCAACCCAGGGCTTGGTAGTACCTGCTAGACTTTCCCAGAGAGTTGCTTCCATGTGACTCTAGTCAAGTAGACA